AGGGCAGCCATTCGTCCGTGTGTGGTGTATCTATCCACTTGTGTGAGTGGGTCTGCGGACTCACCGCGAGAGTTTTCTGTTCCTCTGGTATGTTGATGGGCACGAAGTGGGCGTTGATCTCGTACGTGTTGAAGTAGGTCCGCAGCCGGTCGCCGTACTCGCTCCACACAAACGAATCCACAAACGCCAAACACCTGCACAGGCGACCATAAACACGCACCCAACCCAGCGCATTCACACAGGACACGCCAGCCATCCCATCCGCTCATACGCACCTCTTTGTTTTGCTGTAGTGGCTCGCGAACGTGCCGTCGTCGACATCGAACAGCGTAGGGCTCATGGCGACCTGGTAGTTCATCGATGCGGCGGCGTGCACATTCCACTTGCCCTCACGCGAACACCAATCTACGCGACCCTCGTCGTTTAAACGACCCTGCCACACAGATAAGGGCATCTATCGAGTGTGTGTGGGTGCCTTGTGTGTGTGTGTGCGTCTGGGCGCGGTACCCATTCCTTGCGCTGCTCCTCCGATGGATGGTGGTCATGATGGCAAGACACAGCACCGATAGGCAGATGCACGCCTCCACAGTGACAGCCGCCCTGACATAATATCGACACCCACACAACACACAGCGCAGCAGATGCGCACCCACACGCATGCAGCCATCTTTGTAACCCGAGCAGGGCTGTGTGTTTGCTCACCACCGGCTGTACATCTGAGAGCTCGTCGAAGCTGCCGATCATCGACAGCACCTCGCACGCCATCCTCACACACGAAATTCACACAGGAGAGAGTAGACAGGCGGGGGGGACGAGGCGAGGGGAGCGGGAGGGCTCTGCGAGTGGGTCACTCCCGGCCTCCGTCAATGCCGACTGTTCGCGCCCCGTGGTCAGCTAGTGCAGATGAAAGACAGCCGCAGAGAGAGGACCTAGTTATGAACACAAGGACAAAACTGCGAGGGATGCGAGACAAGAGGTTCTGGCTGAGGCAGAGGAGCTCCACGCAGGGGGGAGGCTGGTGTCAGTGAATGCTTGGACTCTGCCAAAGACCGTGACCAAGTCAGCAAATCCTATAACCCCATCACTGGACAACCCTAAAACCCGAACCCTACTGATGAACGCTGACCTGTTTTTCCTGAGGCTCGCAACGCAATGCGACGAAGCGGACTCATTGCGAAGGGCCAACAGAGCTGCAGAGTTAGTCTTGTGTGGCTCAGCACCCTCTGCAGCTGTGCTGCGCTGGCTGGTTGCTTCTCTGTGCCGCAATGGAGACTTACTCATGCCTCAGGGCTGATCTTGCGGCGGCGTGGCGCCAGGACAAAGATCGGTGCAGCTTCATCCTCGCCGTTCTATGCGGGGACGTTCAGGCAATCGCTGCAGCTCAACGAGAAGGACAGATCCACTCTACTTGAGTACATGAACACCAAACACAAGGTGCGCAGTCACTGTGAAAGAAGCTGCATGATGCTTGTTTGTTGATTGGCTGTGTTTGCTTCCCTCATTGGTCGTTCTGCTTGCTTTGCTTGTTTCTTAGGATGATTTGGTTGCGTATGCTTCTCGTCTTGACGCGGACATCAAGGAGCGGATGACCAAGGCGAATTTCTGGCAAGCTGGTCTGTTTGTCATCGACGATGCGCTCCTGGTGGATATGACTGAGGACGAGGCCATTGTCAACCTGACCATCACTGAGAGGAAGCTGTTCGGCAGCGACAAGAAGACCACTCTAGAGACGGTCGCCATCCCTTTCGATGGACGAGTGACCACTGGTGAGCTCACGCCGAAGCCTTTGGATGCTCTTGTGGCTGATTGCGTGGATTTGGTGTGCAGTTGATGGGTTGAAGCAGGCGTTGATGGCGCTCAGCAGGAGGGCCGATCGCGCCAAGAGCATCGCGAGGTACATCCATGCACGCAGCTGCGAGTGAGGTGATCATTGTGTCGTATTCATTCGTTGTCTTGTGCCTGTTCTTGATGGCAGTTTGATGGCCATCCCCATCGGGTCATCTCAGGAGCTGCCAATGGGCCTCAATGTCAGACAAACAGACACACTCAGACGGAGAAATGGGGCATCGCTGCGTACACGTCTGTGTGTGTGCAGGTGAACAGCGTACCAATGAGTCAAGCCGTCCGGTGTGCAAACGAGATACGAGCTACGCCTGTCTTCCCTGCATTGGTGTCTGTCTGTATGTGTCGCAGTGAGTGGTTCTATCGCAGCGCCGCCTTTGCTGTTCACCAGGCCGTGATCGATCGCGACTACGCGTCGTCGAAGATGCGACTGCGGATCAATGTGCCCGAGACCAATCCAACTATTGACACGTACCGCGTGGCCACACTGATGGAGCTGGTCAGGGAGGTCGCCCTGTACGTCGTCAAGGAGACCGGACGAAATGTCAAGATTTGCATACAGGTAGGTATACAGCTGGCGAGGCAGATGAATGCATTGAATCCTTTGTGTGTGTCTGCGTCCGCCGCTTTGGCTGTTTCAGGGTGCGGTGGAGATAGGCTTTCGTCAGGGCACCCCTCTGCCGTTGGCCGGGGTGCGGAAGATGTTCGGTATGATGGACTGGTGCGGAAGATGTTCTTCAGACCAAATAAGCGTCCAGCTAGTGTACACCCATCCATTCTCTCCATTTCCTCTTACAGGGGTGATGGTTCAGAGCCATACCAACCTGTAGGCACGCACACACCACGACACACACGATCTTTGTATGCCCGGATTGGCCTACATGTGGTGTGTGCACTGTTGATGCGGCTGCAGCGTGAGGAGCCCATCCCCGCACGAGGCCTCAAGTCGCTCAGTGAGGTCGTCGCAGCAGAGAGCCTCCCACCAAGGTGAGGGATGGAGGCCAAACACATGACCCCAGCTCAGTGGCCTCGTGTGTGTTCAGGTTAGATGGGAAGGTGCGATTCGGCGGCGTGGGACCTCAGTTTGTGGAGGATGACGACGACATCTTCATCGTCTTCTGCCCGCAAACCGCCGTGAGCACAACAAGCTTCCATGCCCTCTTGTGCGTCCACATGGGTGTCTGCGTGTAATGCATTGCAGAAGAGCACCCCGATCGTTGAGGTGCTGGATGAGATGCAGGAGGCAGTGGGTGCACGCCCCTTTATAATGCTGAATCCAAGGCTGCGGGTACGCCATTGCCTGCGAGCGGGGATGCGGCAAGGAAAAGGGCAGCGCATCGTCCGTCCGTTTGTGTGTATCGATCAGGACGTCCCTAGCCCCGATGGCATGATGGGGACCACCGGCAGGCAGGAGCGTTTGGACTTTGCCAAGTCATTCGACGACATCTTTGTCTTCAGAACGATCACGCCCGAGGTATACCGACACTCATCCAGGAGACCACACCAACATTACAGAGAGCCTGCCTCCCCCTGTGTGTGTGCCTGTCGATGCACAGAAAGGGAATCCCTTTCGGATTCTCGGTGCGGTTGTCAAGTTCGGCCACAGGAACTCGTATGTGGCGTACCAGCTGGAGGAGGGGCGATTTGACTATGCTCACGGGGACACAAAATCAGAGAGGTGAGCACGAATAATACCCTTCACACCACACCCGAGGGCGGCTGGCTGGCTGGCAGGTACTACCCTCGGAGCATGTATCCGTACGATCCGTCTGATGTCGAGGCGAGGCGGACATTCGTCAAGGAGAAGACGGCACTCTACTAGCCATATGACATTAGGGCGGGTTAGGATGGAAGAACTGGCGTGTCGATCGATCGATTGAGCCGATGAGGCTCAAATGTATGATGAGCGAGTGAGGTGTTTTTTCTGTGCGTCATGTTGGATTTTTTGTGCCCTCGAGTACAGACCCTGCGAGTTGTCTTGTGTGTGCATTGCCATACAAACACTTGTGAGACACCAGTGCCCTTCGATCAGCCCTGTCCGTCAACGTGTCCATCCACAACACACACGTGCACCCAATCATCCATCCATGCATCAGTCAGAACCAGGGTCGATAGCCATAGTACCACACCCACAGCTGCCGACTGAGCGGGTCGATGATCAAATAGCAAAAGTTGGAGGGATGCTCGCGGGGAAACAGCGAGGACCCCTCATCAGAGAACGAACGCACCCGCACTACCTTTGATATCACCTGAACCACCAACACAAGAGAAGACGCTGGATGCACACGGCTTTCTGCACCGTTGATGTGTTCTTACCTGAATGTCTCCGTCTTCGTTGCGTCTCACACTGCAGAACTCCTTGTAGAGGCGTCGTGTGGTGTCATAGTAGGGGGTGGCGCTGTCGTCGTACTGGTTCATGGCCCCCCCGACCACCAGGTGCTGGAAGATCATCAAGAGGAACTCGCACCGGTCCTGCTCAGAGAAAACCTCCCAGTGCTCGCTCTCCTCCATAAGGAGACACTCACGCAGCATATTGACTATCGGAATGCCTGCACCACACACACAGGCACGACAACAACAACAAACACGACCATCCTATCCATGCATACACATCGTCTCCATGTGTGTGCATGGGCACCTTCATAGTCCTCTTCCAGGCGCCCCTTGATGTGTCCGCTCTCACTCACGATGCCCCCATTCACCAAAGGCTCGCTCAGGAAGCTCATCCGCGTCTTGCTCGTCCGCATCACATCAAACTCGCACACCGTGCGCCCACTCCCAAACACCATGGGAAACGCCCCTCGCAGCGCCGAACGCACCGTCGGGTCCGAGAAGAAGTCCTCGACAAACGGCCGAAGGACATCTTTGCTGATCTGTGTGGTGGCTGCGGCGGTCGGCAGGGCGTTGTCGAATGAGAATTTGACGGCCCCCATGTCCTCGCTGAGACCCCACTTGAGCCAGGCCTCCCGCAGCTCCTTGTCGAAGAAGGGTGGGAAGGGAACGTCGATGGGGTGAAATGCCTTCTTGTCCTCGACAGGAGCTGTACTCGCCATTTTGGGCACCGTCTTGGGGGCCGTCTCGCAGCCCCCCGTCTCCCGGGCAACGTTGTTGAAACTGAGTGTTCAGGCCCTCCACTGTGGCCCTCTGGTGGCCCTGTAGTGCACTCAGCCACAGGCAAAGAGGCGCACACACATCCGCCATGGGTCTCGCATTCAGCATGTGTAAGCGGCCGGAAGGCCATGACGCTGAAGCCCGCCCCCTGAATCACGGGAGTGACGAGGGCAGGGACCGCAGCTACAAGAAGACAGTCAAGCGGTTGGCTTCCATGTTGAGAACAGGGCAGCTGGACCGCCTGTGGACGACAGGGCTGCAAGACCTCATGGACACGATGACGGACAGCGGAATGGAGGAACCAAGCAGCAGAACATGTGAGTTGTTTGCCAAAAGTGGAGGTGTAGATGTGCTGATGAGCCTGTCGCCCCGCGATGCGTCGGAAGTGGAGGTCCTCTTCGACTGCTGGTGTGAGCTGATGAGCCCTTACGTGACGACCGACACGCTCGGCCATCTGCCGTGGCTGATCAGCTATCTCATCGACAACGGCAGGCTGGCAGCTTTCCTCGATGCGCATCTCGGCCTCTTGTCGCTGCCCGACATGCCCCCTGCCACCCTTATCGACGTTATCACCAATATGATGGAGGGGCTCTACCACTTCCCTACTGGCAGAGACGCTATGGCCGCCGACGTGTTGGGGGTCTTCACGCCTGACCGTGTGGATGTGCTGCTGACATACATGCAGCACTGCAGCAAGGAGGAGGAGACAGCCGAGGACAGCATCCACCTGGTGTTTGCGCTGGCTCAGCTGGGGCTGAGTTGGCGGATGGCTCTGTATGCTGCCGGCCACTGCCTCATGGTGGCCATGGTGGAGCACCTTCTGGACGAGGGGGCGGGCGGTGAGGAGGAGGAGGACGCGTGTCTGTGGTGGAAGGAGTGCCGGGAGTTGCGAGACACCGTCGCTGACCGGAGCTACTTGAGTGAGGAGGCGGCCGGTGGGCTCACACGTAGATGCTCTGTTGTCCTGTTGGTGCACACTCTTCATGTCTCTATCTGCTTCTATGCAGCCAAGAAGCGACATCTGACGAAGTGCCTGCTCGATAAGGGCGTTCTTCCCCTCCTGCACGACTGCCTCGAGTGCGTTCGGCCGTCATGCGACACTGTCACCTATGGCGCCGCTGCCGCCTTTCTCATGACCGCACACATGGACGACAACACCAATTCCGACACCCAGCTGGCTCCGCTGATCGACGCCATGCTCAAGGCGGCCAATGTCAGGACGGAACGACTCAACAAAGAGAAGAAAAGGTCGACCGCCAAGAGGCAGCTACAGGCCACCACCACAAGTAGTACCAGGGGCTTCTTCTCGGCAGTGAGGTCGGCAACAAGGGGCGACAAAAGAGCTGAGGGAAAGGCAGCTGGGGCGAGTCCGGTCAAGGTGAGCTCCTTCTCCGCGAGGAGGGTCCGTGTGGGGCAGCATTGCACGTGTGCGGCGCTCGAGGCGGCTGCTGCCATCGTGCTGTCACGGCCAGAGAGGAAGGAGGAGCTTATTGGAGGGCTGAGACATTCTGTCGAAAGTAGGCCCCCAGCTTTATTGAGAAGGAATTGTGTTGATGGCTCTATTGTGGTGTGCTTTGACCAGGTTTGTTGCGCCAAGTCAGCACACATACACACGCACCACCCATCGTGCAATCGATGTACGGCCCCTTGTTTGTTGTCCACTCTGCAGGCCGTGGATGTGGTGATCTCTGACTCGATGGATGTGACCAACCTAAGTGATGTCGACTGCCTCATAGCATACTTGTATGCACAGGAGAGAGCTGTTCGTTCATTCGGCATGTGTGTGGCGTGTGTGTATTTGTCTTTCGCAGACCAGGGCCGATGGCGGCGCTGATGATGGTATGTCCCAAGTTGAGGCTGCGTGCACGAGGCACGGACAAGCGTGTGCACGCACGAATCTGTGGGTGCTGTGTGTCTCCCTGTTTTGCAGCTGTTGCTGCAGTGTCTCAGTCTTGAAGAGGACTCAGCAGCAGCAGCCGTGGACATGGACAGGGTGCTGCTCGACAAGACCCTTTACGCGCTCAAGGCGTACGTGATGGGCATGACGATGCGCGGCCTCACCAGTGACCCCGACATCGATTCGCGTGCGACCATTGTCAAGCTACTGTGTGGCATCTGCCTGGCTCTGGAAATCGCAGCTCACCAAGGTGCGGTGCGTGCGCGTCAGCTCCAAGGGCGTGGAAGCCAAGCACGGACTGGACTCATGTGTGTCTACGCGTGTGTGTGTGTTGGTGTTTCGAAGGATGATGCGTCCGTCAAGTGGGTGACTGCCTCCCTGCTGCTGCTGCGCATGACGTTCGGCAAGTGCAGTGGGGAAATGTGTGGGGTGATCAAGGCGCTGGCTGCCAAGGCAATGCACCTACACGAGCAAATGTGAACTGTCTGTCCATGAACGCCACGCCCTCATGATGGCATGGCACATAAATGTCAGTCACATCAATTGCATGTATCGATACATGACATGAACGAATGAATTCAATCTGTCGTCCGCCCGGCCACCACTTTCCACACACACATCTGCACGAACGTGTTGCGGCCCTCATGCGTCTCTATGCTCCACGGCGGGATGAGGAAGCTCCTGTATGGTGCACGGCTCATGGCCGCCTCCAGGATGGGATAGCATGACACCGACTCGAAGGCCAGCTGGTCGGCGGCAATCGCATCGCCATTCAACTGCATGAGCTTCTCGCGTGGCCGTGGTGCGTTGGCCGCCAATGGCTGGTCCGTCGAGTCGACTAAGTAGTCGCACTCACTTATCGACACGTACCTGTGTGTATGCACAACCGACAGAGACAGTGTGCGTATGTATGGGTGAGTGCCTCTCTCTGGCCGCCTGTCTGACACACTTGTGAGGGTCTTCTCGATTGTCGTCGTTCATGCCTGGTGGGATACTGGATGTGGAGTTGAACACACCAGGCAGCAAGCCTGACACACCAACGGCACAGCACAGCACAGCCCCCCTCGCCTCGGTCTGTCTGTTGATGTATGTGTCCGTCATGTTAGTTAGTTATCACCCACCTTTGAAGCCCGCCCTGACGAACCGCAGCTCTGCCCTTTCATGCAGGAAGAAACTGCTGGGATACCGATGCCAATCCGCACCTGAATCACACACACACACACGCACACACATGGCATCGGGCGATCACTCAACACGTCCCAGACCAACCCATTTCATCTACCTGTGCACGCACTGACAGACTTGCTCTCCTCTTTCTCCACGGCAGCCATGGTCCTCTCCCACACACGGAACACCGGCCGGCCGTAGTAAACGTACAAACCAGCCACACGGCTGACAGTCAGCGACGCCCCCAGCAACAGCCCACACCACATCCCCACACGCAGCCCTCGCAACACCAGCCGCAGTAACGACATGGCCACTGGCTTGCTGCTGCTGGCGGCTATGTCCTGGTCGGCCTTGCCCGGCACTTTGGCCGCACCGCCGCAGAAGAAGCCCTCAGCGTTGTGGATGGCCTCGCAGCCACACGCAGCCGCGATGCTGATCAGTGGGTAGATAACGAACAGAAATCTCTCCTCTTTGTGGGGCAGCCGGAACATGACGGCCAGCCAGATCAACAGGGGCGACAGCACCACAAACGTGAAGCGCCTGGCGGATGGTGCTGCAACACCTGTCATTCCTTTCTCTTTCTTCTGGCGTGAGCAGCACCTCACAGCCATGACGACCGCACCCAGAGCAGCCAGGGGCACCCAGACGTGGAAGTTGAGCAGCAGGTTGGTGGCGTAGTAGTGCCATGACTCCACCCCATACAACACCGACCGGCCAGCCGCACTCTCGCCAGCCCCGATGCCCGTGTTGTACATGGCTATGTTGAGCGGACTGGCCAGCCACCGTCCATAAAAGACATAGTCGACAAGCACGACCGGTGCAGTGACATGAGCGCCCCACAGCAGCCCCCAAACCACCGACCACACGATGCCTTTGGCAAGGAAGACGTCCAGCATGAAGGGGACGAACAGCAAAGCGGCGAACGGCCAGTTGGTGGCCACTGTGGCGAACACGGCCACGCCCACAGCCAAGGCACACCTGTTGCGTAGCCACAGCGTCCACACGAGCATCGACAGCTGCATGAAGGTCGAGGAGGGAAGCAAGGGCGACGACGCCAGCACGTGACCGGGGCTGCAGATGAAGGCCAGCAAAGCATAGCGGGCGACTAATGGGCTGACAGCCGAACCCAATGCGCTGATAAGAGAGCCCTGAATGATGGCACAAGAGATGGCCAGCACGCCCCGTAAGATGAACCAGATGAGAGGCCGGGCAAAGCCGATGAGGGCCAGCAGCTTGGCGAGCCCGGCGAGTGGCAGGAGGTATGCATAGGAGCGCAGTGCGTACTGCGGGCTGTATTCCCATGTCTGCATGCCCTTATGGAAGGCGATGAAGTGCGTCGGCTCCCAGTAGTTGAAGACCTCATCGCAGTCAGATATGATGCTGTAACTCACAGACAGGGCAGAGGCCAGGCCCAGCAGCACCGCGGTTGCGTCAATCTGCTTCATCCTTACGTGACCATAAAGATCAAGCTTGCAGATGTCAAGCTCGCAGAACTGGAGAGGGAAAAGAGGACGGCTGGCGCCAGCCCAGGCGCCAAGCAACGAAAGGAGAGAGGAAGGGGTGGTTCTGTCTCCCAGGAGCTCCAGATCTCTCCAGAAACCGCCAGCGGGATTGATCTTTCTCTGAGTTGCCAGCGGCGAGAAGCCACGACATCTCGGGAGATGGATCAGCTTGAGGTGGCTGGACTCCATCCTCAGGTTGAAGAATGTGTGGACAAGCTTCGGCAACACGGCGTCGTCATTCTGCCCAGTGTCGTCGGACACGACGCTCTGATAGATCTGCGCCGCTCTCTTGGTGGTCTGATTACTGCTATTGAGGGCCACTGGCGGCCTGCTGAGGACGATGTCTATTTGGATCTCGACGACCTGGGCGTTGTGCGGATGCCTGAGTGCGGCCGGCTGAGGAAAAATGTCCACTTGTCGGATGAGTCGCCCCAGCACGAGGCTATGGCGGAGTTCATGCAGACGGCAGGCATCCCAGACATCCTCCAGGCAGCTCTCGGCAGCGAACGGACGCTCGTCCTCTCCGAGACCGGCCTCTCACTTACTCTGCCTGGTGGCTCAGAGATTGAGTGGCACGCAGACGGCGACGCGGGAGAGTTCACCGTGTTGATGTCGCTTGACACGTTCGACAGATCGACGGGCCCATTGGGCATCAGGCTTGGCTCGCACCTCGACTACGTGACGGACCACCGGGCGGACGAGGCGGCGGGGCGAAAGGAGAAAGAGGAGAGGGAGGAGGTGTGGTACTGCTATCGAGAAGGCGTGCCGTGTGTGATTGATGCGAGGACACAGCACATGGGGTCGGCGAATCAGTACTCGTCGTTGAGAGTGGTGTGCTGGTGGATATATCAGAGTGTGGAAAGCTGACGTGACGTAGGGCGGACAGAGGGAGAGGGAGAGGGAGATGCTGCGTGGTTTATGTGCGGCTGGCTGGGCTACGTGTGCCTTGGTGTGTGTCGATATGAGACGTGAATCAATATTGATGTCTCGACGCAGCTTACCTTCGTGCGATAGAGACATTGGATCGGAACATGCACAGGTTCACGGTACGCAACACAGCCAACCCACCAGGCACTGACTGCTGACAGACAGCACTCTGGCAGTGATCGACCAATGCCATTGCCCTAGTAGTCCGTCGAATACACGCACAACCACTGGCCGTCATTGCTGAGCCCTGATGAGAAGTGGCCCCTCTTCAATCACCTCCTCCACCACTACGACCGGGGAGTCGTCCGCCCCGTCCTCCGCATCCATTTGATGGCCTTCCTGGCTCCTCACTCTGTCGTTCTGCAGGAGGGCCTTGCCCATCGACGCGCCTTTCAACACCGACTTTGCCTAGCGTGAGCCACAGAGAAATGCACCCGTTCCGTTTGCGGGGGCCGGCTGTGGACATCATTCAGCGTGCTTACGTTTGTGAGCGCGTCCCTTTCTTCGGCACGATGCTGAGCTCGGGCGTCGAAACTGGCCATCAACCAATCTGACATTCATTCAACATGTGACACAGAAGGAAATGATGGGCATTCACGCATCCTCGTCCACTGCACTCACCGCATCCAGGTTTGATCTGGTTCTTGTGTGTCTCCGTGTCGCTTTGTGTGGTGCTGGTTGTATTGCGGCCTGAAAGCGTCTCCCCCAGATCCATGTCGACATCAGCTGCAACGACACAAACACAGACAATACATACCGGCACAACCACACACACAAACACACAGACCTGGGAGGAGGTGAATGTGGTGAGTGTGGATTGGGTTGTGTTGGCTTGCCTTTGGCGCCTTCGAGCTCCACATATTTGGCTTGCAGTGACTGCTGGGTGGTCTTGAGGTCGGCCATGACCTTGCCAAACTGCTCGATGGCCTCCTGCTCATCTTTCTCCTCCGCCTCGATGTCGCTCTCAATCTTGTCCTTGACGTAGGAAATCATGCCCAACACACTGTCCGTCTGACCCTGGATCAACAAATCCACACATCCATCCACACGCGTGCAAAGGCCTCATGCATTCTCTCGTTTGCCGTGTCTCCATCTGTCCGCATGTGTACCTTTGTGGATTTCGTGTCTGAGAACTTCGTCTCCGGTGCCTGGTCAGGATCCACATCGAATGTGGGCTCCTGGCTGCTGCTGATGCTGCTGCTGTGGGAAGACTTGTAGTCTTTCGACGCGAGGATCCTGCGGTGACCGTAGCGGTGGCTGTGTGTGCGGCGGAGGAGTGCACTCGACCGACGGTGGCGGTGCAGAAGACGAAGGGGGGAGTATCTGTGTCTGGGGACCACGCTTTGGGTCTGCGACACACACACGCGCGCGCATACACAGACAGAGAGAGGCGGGGGAGGGATGAGAATGGATACTAGACAGAAGGGGGCACGATGCCACCTGTATCAGCGCTGTCGACGGGCTGGGCACATCGCCCTCGCCGCTCTTGAAGAAGGCCTGCAGTTCTGAAATGGTGTGGCCGAGCAGCTCCACGGCAGCCAAGTTGGCTGAAAGAGCAAACCGCGACGGATGAGTCGATGAAATGAGAGACATGCATCATGCGGTCTTCTTCTTCCATACCAGTTCTGCTCTGGTTGTATGCCGCTGCGGCAGAATTGCGATCGTCATGTGCAGTACTGATCGTCGCATTCACCTGCTCAAGCTCCTGCAAAGGGGAAAAGGGAAAAGGCATGTCTGCAAGGACCTCATTTCGTTTCTTTTTGCGACCTCGTGTGTCTTCTGCATGTCGTGCGCCAGCTTGTTGGACTTGGCGGACAGCTTGTCAATCTTCGACGACTGGATGGTGTATGCGTGTGACAGCTCTTCAAGGCTCAGTTTCGTCTGGTGCAGCTCCTCTATACACCTGCATCACAATGCCCAAACGATCGGGGTGTCCATCCTTCCTTCCTTGGTGCCTCACCAGTCTCGCTGTTTGATGTCCTGCTGCGCCTCGTCCTGAATATCGATCAGAGACACACATGAATAGCGGTAAAAGTCGCATTTGTCCAATCCTCTGACCTTCAGATGTTTGAGTGTCTTGTTGATGGCCTTGAGCACCTTCTCGAAACGACCTTGCTGAAGAAGGAGGGCAACGCACAACAACTGGAGGGCTAGAAGCGCCAGCTGGGGGCTGTGCGCCTTCCTTGCCACGTTGCGGAGCTGGTTGAGGGCCCACATGTGCTGCGCCTTGGTAGCGGTGTGGTGACGACGGATGTGCGCCGACACCTGCAGCAGCTCCGGCGCTTGTCGCTTGCCGATCCTGACCAGAAGGCGTTACATGCAATCCTGTCTCACCGGTGACGCGTAAGCGGCCGTCTTACCTGAGGAAGAGCTGCTGTGCCTCATCTGAGGCGAGGAAGTCCAGGGCTTTTTGGATGCCACTTAGCTCATCGTCACGCATCTGCTCCCGAGCTGACACCCACAGGCGAGAGCCAACGTCAACGTCAACCGAGCCGCACATCCCGCCGCTTACCGTGCCATTCGTCCGCTTTGTTTTTGCAGCCGGCAGCAGCGTCTGCGAAGAACGCCTCATCTGAAGAGGGAGACACACGTAGCTTCATCAAATGTGTATGTGTGTGTGTGTGTGTGTGTGTGTAGGTGTGTGTTGGATTTTACCGCTGTCTCGCTGCTCCACTGTATCGGCGAGCTGAGATTTGCTCTCGGCCTGTAGCAACAGGGCAATCCATGGGTCTACTTGGGTGTTTGTTATCGAGGTCTTCCTCACCTCTGCTTTCATCTTGTCGGCTTGTTCTCCCTCCTTTGCGGCCAGGGCCTCTTCAAGGCTTTTAAGCTGGTTAGATGTGTCCTGCAGGAAGACCTTGTACTGCTCCTGCTTGGCTTTTTCTTGCTGCACAGGCCGACAGACACGCAGGGAGGGATTTTCCGAGGCCCATGGCTTCAGTAAATGCCTTTTACTCACCTTTTCTAGCCTAACGAGGTTTCCCTTGAAAGTGTCGTCCATGCTTTTGAGGATGCCCAAGATGGTCGATGACTGCGGGCCAGAATCCCCAAATGTTGGCGATTGGCTGATCATGTGGCGCGGAAACGCCAATACACATGCACATGACAATGAGTGCAGATAGACAAAAGGAGGCAGTCTTACTCCTGTTATAGTTGAGGCGAGGAAGGAGCTGAGTAGCTGCAGCTTGGCGCTGGACATCTCTTTTGCGGCGGGCAGCTGCAGCGCGTGACGGATGGCTGATAAATGACGACCACAACAACATGAAATGATGCTGTTGATGATACATGGGTGAGCGTCTGTGAGCTATTGCGCACCTGGTAGGGTGGCGAGGAACGCCGTCTCCTGCTCTGCTTGCTGGGGTTTTCTTTGTACTCCTCCCAGCACCTCTATTGCCTTGCCCAGCGCTGCGATGGCCTCGTTGAGCTCTGACGTGGGGGAAACGGAGAACCAATGAAAAAGATGACGGCCAATCTGCTGTGACATTTGTTGCAGTACCAGCCTGCTCCTGCATATATTCCTCGCTCTCCCTCTTGCGTAGGGCTGTCGCGTCCTCCCGAGAATTGGCAATCTCTGTCATCTCCTGACATCCCGGTAACGCAGATCACACAGATTCATTGCCCTTCCTATTACCTGTTTGGTAGTTTGGATCTCCGCGGCAAGGACTGCCAGCCGGCTCTTGGTCTCCAGCACCTGGTGCTGCAATGCGGCGATCTCCTCCCTGACAAGGAAAAAGAGATACCGACGAATTCCCGCGCGGGTGATCTATGTGCTGACTATACTTTGCAGCATGGATGGTGTCGGCCTTCCTCTTGAGCGTCTTCTCGCACCAGCAGGCGTACTTGTCATACACCTGTGGCCGCCATGGCTGCACATCTTCTCCATCTGTATAGGTCGTACCTTTTGTTCGTTGCTGCGGTCCTCCACGATGCGTTCTTTCAGCTCGGTGACGAGATTGACCACCCTTTCCCTCGGGGATGGATCAGCGGCCACCAATCCACACGCCAAGGCAAAGAGGAATGAGATAACCAGCACCATTTCCGCCGATGTTTACAAGGTAAAGGGAGCTTAGGGCACAGGCGGTGTGAAACGATGTTGTTAGGCTCGCAGGTGGTCTGGATGAAGAAAAGGCGATGACGGTAGGGCTTTGGCAAGAGATGGATGGACGAGCCTGACGCAGAACCAATCGTGATCTGTGTGTTTGTCGCGCTCAGGGCGAGATGAAGGTGCTGGCGCTTGTGGCTGTGTTCGCTGCAGGTACGCTGACAGCAAGGCACGCAACACGTGCACTGCTCAGACGTTTGCGCTGGTTTATGCCTGCCTGGTGCAGATGCCTTTCGATGCTTTGCCATCACGCCTGATCACACGAGTGAGTGGTGCTATGGCCAACCCCCATGCAGCACTACAAGCCATACATGTAACCTGTCCCTCACTCTTTGTGTTGATGCAGGCTTCGTTTCGCCCGTCCCCCTACTGAGGCAGCGGCTCAACAGCAATGCCCTCGACAGATCTCCCCTCTCCCCTTCCCACTCCCCAACCCAGTCGTCCCTTTCGCAGCATCCCCTGACCGTCACACATGTCGGCAAGCAGAAGTCCGTCTGGGCGAACCGGCCCGACCCGCAGAAGATCGCCGGCAAGCGCCTGGTGACCGCCGAGGCGAGGTTTCTGCGGCTGTCCACCATCAAGACGCTAAGGACGCTGTCGGAGATCAAGGGGAAGCCTCTGCTTGAGGCGCTGGCCATCCTGGAGTGGTCGCCGCGGAAACCCGCCAAGCAGGTGTACAAGTGCATCAAGTCTGCGCTCGCCAACGCCAGGCAGAAGTACGGTGCCAACAGCGTCAAGCCCAGGATCTTCACGGTGCTTGCCAACCGAGGGCCTTACAGGAAGCGGGTACACTTTCAGTCCCGCGGGCGGGCGTCGGTGTACAGGCGGCCGACGACACACATCAAGGTCGTCCTGGAGGTCTAGCGAGACAGACGCAGACGGCTGCGCTACGTGCTTTGCTTGATTGCAATACGTGGTGTGAAGGATGGATCTTTGTTGGGCGTGTCGGGGCGTGGATGTATTGCGTTGCTAGCTGCTGGAACTGACTGAGGCAGGCAGGCAGGCAGGCGTGCAAACTTTTCAATGAGTGAGTGTGTCAATGACACACATACGATACACAGACCTTTCGTCATTAATACGTGATGGATGCATTGCAACACCAACACTTGAAATACACAAGTCGATTGATGGATCGATCAATAATAGTCCACGACCCACTCAGGCACTACTGTACAGTGGCCAAAGGACTCATCCGTCAAACACACCAAACAGCACTACGCCGCAGCCCTTCGTGCATGTGACAGCCTCGGCGGCTTCTCCGCCTGCCCCTGCCGCGCCACCTCAGCGGGGCTCATCTGCAGGTCAATCCTGTCCATCGGGAAGATGTTGTTCTGCGACCGAAACCGCACCGGCACAGGCAGCTTGCCCGCTATCACGCGGAATCCCCTGTAGATGGGCTGCTGCGGCATGAACTCTGCGAACGGGCTGATGGTGGGGATGTGCATCACGACCTTGCCGGCGGGGACACGCGCGACGAAGTCGTTGATGTTGCCCTTGCCGTTGCCCATCTTGCAGCCGTCGGGCTTCTTGGTGGTGGCGTACGTGGCGTGCACGTCCATGTGGAACTCCTTGCCCTTGCCGAGCTTCTGCCGCAGCAGCAGTTGCGCCTTCTCCAGCTGGACAGCACGCACCCGTGTCGGCATCGCCAGCACGAAACTCTTGCCCATACGAATGTCGGGCTCCTGCACACATACGCAGCACAGAGAGAGTGGGTGTCTCTCCTCTCTGGCTGCACGGTGTGCTGGGTACTTTGCTTGCCTTTTGTGGGTTGATCTTGGTTCTGCCGACCTTGAACCTGACACACACAGCATAACACAGGGAGGGCCACCGTGTGGAGGGAACAGATAAGACCTGCATTGTCCTCTTGAAAGCATACCTGACGGGCAACGGCGCTTTGAACTTGAACGGCCCTTGCAACGGAGGAGGCATCTCCGGCAGTAGGGGAGTCACACACACGAGATGTGCCTCCTTTTCCCTTCCCTCCCGCAAGCTAAGCTCGCAGACGTCGGAAGTTCAGCGCTCACTTGAGGCTCTGGGAAGAGAGGAGGACGCTCCGAGCAGGCTGCGAGTCATCGAGTATGCTTGCGTTCACTCCGCGCCGTGCGATCGGGGCTCTGTGTGCTCGGGGCTTCCCCGCCCTCCAGAAGAGATGGCTCAACCTGCACGAGTACCAGAGCGTACAGGTCATGCAGTCCTACCACGTACACACACCAAAGGTATGAAAGGAAACACTACACAACACATCACTCATGGCAGCAGTCAGAGGTATTTGGCGAGCGTGTTTGTGTGTGTGTGTGTGTTCTGCCAGGGTCTGCCTGCTTTCACGGGTCGCGAGGCCGAGGCGGCCGCGTCGGCATTGCAGGCCGAGCAGGGCGACATTGATTTCGTCGTCAAAGCACAGGTCACTCACACGACGAAAGAGTTTCCATCCATCGTGTGAGTGACTGCCTGCCTGTCTGCCTGGCTGCTGCGTTGCACAGGTGTTGGCAGGCGGCCGTGGGTTGGGGTATTTTAAGGAGAATGGGTTCCAGGGGGGCGTCCACCAATGCCAGTCACCCTCAAAGGCAAGAACAGAACAGACAGACAGACAGACAGAAAGGCTGATTGATTTAATGACTGGTGGGCGTGTTTGTGGGTGGGGGTGTTGCAGGTGAAGGAGATCGCCAAGAAGATGCTGGGTAACACGCTGGTGACCAAGCAGACGGGCGAGGCCGGCAAGCCCTGCAACGCCATCTTCGTCTGCGAACGACTCTGTGAGCCACAACGAAAGGAAGCGAAGGGAAGCAGAGTGGTTGGGTGTGTTGTGTGTATTCCTGCCTCCGTCCCTCCCTTCCTGCCTGCCTGCCTCCCTTCCTGCCTGCGTGCGTCATTAATGGTTCAGATTTGCGTCGGGAGAAGTATTTTGCGATATTGATGGATCGGTCATCTGGCGGCCCCCTGATGATCGGCAGCGCTGTCGGCGGCACCAGCATCGAAGACATCGCCGCCAAGGTCACCACGCGCACTCACACGGACAAACAGATGGATAGATAGAAGCATCCGTGTGATGTGATGTGATGTGGTGTGTCTGTGTGTGTTGCCAGGATCCTACAGCGATTGTCAAGATGCCGATTGACATTACTGTTGGTCTGAGCGAGGCGCAGGCACGGGAGTTCGCCGAGAAGCTGGCCTTCGAAGGTGACAGGGTCGACCAGGCCGCACAGGTACGGGCGAACGGACGGACGGACGCACCCATCAATCCATCCGTCCATCCCTACGTGTGGGTGTGTACGTCACGTCATGATGCCGTCAGTGCATCATGGGTCTGTACAAGATGTTCATCGACAAGGACTGCACGCTGGTGGAGATCAACCCGTTCGCGGAAACGCACGACGGCCGGGTCATGGTGTGCGACGCCAAAGTCAACTTCGACGACAACGCCGAGTTCAGACACGAAGACATCTTCGAAATGAGGGACACCACTCAGGTACCTACCCACCACACCTGTGTGTAGGCCTGCCTGTCGCGCCCATCCATGTGTGGGTGAAAGGAAAATGCGCCTGCCTCATTGTTGGTGTGTTGGTGTTGGTGTTGGTGTGCAGGAGGACCCCCGTGAGGTGCAGGCGGCCCGGTTTGACCTCAACTATGTCGGCCTGGATGGCAACATCGGTCAGTTCAGTCGTCAGTCAAATGCATACAAGTCTGGTGCACCCATGGCCTTCCTGGCTGTGGTGTGTCGTAGGCTGCATGGTCAACGGCGCGGGTCTCGCGATGGCCACAATGGACATCATCAAACTGGTAGGCTCGCGCGCCTGTGTCCACGCCTCCGTGTGTGTGCGTGTCGATGTGTGTGTTGATCAGAACGGCGGCTCGCCGGCGAATTTCCTGGACGTTGGTGGGGGTGCGTCCAAGACCCAGGTGGTGGAGGCCTTCCGCATCCTCCAAAACGACCCCAAAGTCAAGGCCATACTCGTCAACATATTTGGCGGCATCATGAGGTGTACACGATTATCCGTTCACCCACACGTGTCTGTCTGTAATCGCGTGATGGATGTCTGTGGATATAATGATATAATGACTGCATCAGATGTGACACGATCGCGCTGGGCGTGATCCACGCGTCACAGGAGATCGGTCTGTCCAAACCGCTGGTCGTCAGACTCGAAGGCACCAACCAGGAACAAGCCAAGAAGGTACGAGACGTGCCGCCCCTTGCTTCCTGCCTGTCTGTCTTTCCTCATGTGTGATGTGGGATGTGTGTGTGTGTGTGTCTATGCAGCTGATCGACGAGTCAGGTCTGAAGATGTTGTTTTCGACGGACCTGAGCGAGAGCGCCAGCAAGGCCGTCAAGATGGCCGAGATCATCGAACTAGCGGAGAGTGCCGAGCTGGTCAGCAAGAGAACACACGCACCACGAGACACAGGCGATGTCATGTCATGCTGGACAGCACATCTGTGTGTCTTTCCTTCTTTCTTTCAGGACGTTGCGTTCGCCCTCTGAGGCTGTGCTGTCTTGGCGCTCTGAGGCTGTCTGCAAAGATGGGATCACGGCTGTGCTGCAGAATGGGATATCACATGGGTATTTGATGTGTGTATGCTCATGGCGGCGGGCTCGGTGGCTGCTAGATAGATGGATAGATAGATCCAACGGCTGGCTGAGTGGCAGGCATTTGCTGGACAGAGATAGAAGAGAAGAGCACACGTCTGTTTGTTAGTCAAGGCATGGATGGATAGATGGATGGATGTGGACGACATGCATGCAGTCAAGTCAGTCAGCTCAGACTGAGTGCCAATGGAGCGGCCTTTTTATCGTTCCCCTATCTACCCACCGGTCGATGGAGAGACAAATGCAAATGCAACAGATGGATGGCGAAACAGATGGAAGAACCAACCAAGCGCTCGCCCGCATCCCCCCCACAGCCCTCCCTCCCTCCCTCCCCCCGTCCACTCCACGCACACACATCACGCACTCCCACCGCCAGCGGCCCCACCTGCAACCACTGTCTCAGTGTCAACCGCTGCATCCTCAACAGCACCAGTACCACCACCAGCAGATTCGGCATCAGGGGCATCAGCGTCTTCAGCGGCCACAATCATCCCATTCCCCTCTTGTTGCATCTCCCCTCCCTCCTCCTCGCTAGGCACCACGAGACACCGCCTGACATCGATCTTGCACTGCGTCGGGACGCCCTCCGGCACAGCCACGCCGTTGCCGCTCAGGTCCAGGTGCTCCAGTGTCCTGTTCTCCCTCAGCAACAGCTCCAGCGCGGCTTCCGATGCCTCCGTGATGGCATTGGACGAGAGGGAAAGGTGTGTGAGCGATGTGTTCTTCCTCAGGTCTTTGAACATGGCCGACGCGCCGGTGTCGCCGACTCTGTTGAGGGAGACGTCGAGCCGCTGGAGGGAGTTGTTGTGCTCGAGGGTGGCGCCTAGTTTGAGAAGGCCGTTGTCGTGGAGGAGGTTGTCGCGGAGAGAGAGGGTGCTGAGGGTGGTGGACTCGTCTAGCATCTGGGCCACATAGTGGGCGCCCTGCATTGCCAGAGAGAGAGGCAGAGACAGAGAGAGATGTGGTTCAGAGAGGAATGGCCTGGAAATCATCGCGCCCGCCTACCCGGTCAGAGATCTTGTTGTGTGCTAGGTCAAGGTCCCTCAGCGTGCAGATGCCCTCAAAACCTGAACCAACACACGCATAACGCACACACGCGGATGGCGGACCCACCGCACCCACCCCCCCACAACGCGCCCACCCACCTTTGCAGAGGACCCTCACAATCCGATCATTGATAAGGTTCGACGACAGATTTACCGACGTCAGCATCTGCAGCCGCCGCATCGACACCGCCAGGCTCCGCGCAAAGGGCAGGGTCAGCCCGCCCACCCCTAGCTCCCTGCTGGGCGTCGCACTCATGTTGTCGTCCGCACACCTCAGGGTGATCCTGCAGAGGTTTGGCAGGGAGTCGATGACCTCGACCACTTTTGCGTGGGTCTCCTTGGCGCCTCTTTGGAGGTTCAGGGAGAGGGAGAAGACGAATGCGCGGCAGAGGGTGGTGAGCTCTTTGATGTCCACGTTGCTGGGCCAGTCGGGCTTGCCCATGTTCTCCAGCTCCTGCTGGAGGGTCAGCTCCAGGAACAGTTGCTTCCACGAGCTACAGGGAGACACAGAGATAGACAGACAGACAGACAGACAGACGGCTAGATGAGGGAAGAGACTCTGAAGCGGTGTGTTGAGTGAAGGGCTGCTTTCTTACTTGCCGTGGTCGACGACTGAGAGGGAGCGCAGAGGGAAAGTCGCCTTGGATCTGGATCAGCATCAAGGAATGGAGAGCTGACTGCCCCTGTTCTGTTGTGTGTGAGTTTGGCATATCATATTCTTTCCCACCTCTCCCTGAAGTAGTCTTCGTTGCAGATTCTGGAGATGGCAGAAAAACATCATTGCAATGCTTCTGCTGTCTGACGCATGTATGTATGCGGCAGTGCGGCCCACACACCTCGATATGGCCATGGTTGCGGGCACATCGTGTGGCACTGCCGAGAAGATCTGCTGCAGGTCCTGCAAAGGCAGGCGCTTCTCTATGTCCTGAACACACAACACACACGCCACAAAGCACCACAATGCAGCCCCTCCGTCCCTTCTCTGCTCCCCCATTTCCACCCCGAACTTGAGAAATGACTGGGACAGCTTTCTTCGGCACCTGCACACACACAGACAGGATGTGTTGTGATGCGGGCGTGCAAGCATGTGTCCACGCAGCCCACAGGGACGCACATGTCAGAGAGCTTGGCTGGTCTGCCGGCGGCATGTCGCTCCAGACATGACATCGTTATGTGGGGCAGCAAGTGCATGAGGGGCGTTGGCGGCTGCTCCTTGGCAGCCTTACGCCCGCTACCAGGGCTCCTGGGACTCGGAGTCCCCATGTTCATGACACAAGTCAGCAATGAGTTTGTTGGGGGCCTTTAAGCTCGCCACTCGAGGATCGTCCTCGGTTCGTTCCGTTTTTCGACACTACACGCCACGTAGTACATTGCAAGGTGGCTCAAATCGCTGGTTTGTTGCAAGCGTAAGTCATGCTCACAGCCAAGTGTCGCAGCGACTACCTCATCTCGAGAAGAAGGTACGAGAAACGATCATAAAGAGAGGCCCCATACACTGGCTCACCTTTCTCTATTATAACGCATTTGACCCACATGTATTGCCATGCCATGCAGGCAGCAGGAGGACCGGCATCTCTCTCTGTGCAAGGATGTGCATTCGCTCAACACGGCCCAGCAGAAGGCCGAGTGGGAGCAGAAGAGCGACGGGGTCATCGCAACCAAGCGCATAGAGTCACTCAGCAAAGCCAAGCAGGCCACACACAGACAAAACCTCGTTGACCGACAACAAAGGCTCATCAACCTGCTGGTAAATAACCCTTCACCCCTTAGTACCCCATTCCCCACCCCTGTCTGTTGCACTACAGGAATCAGAGCGTTTGGCGTATGAGGCCGAGTTACGCAATCGCGAGGAGACGCCCGATCAGCGTCGCCAGGCGATGGCCAATCGTGCCCTGGCCTTGAAGGCCAAGCGCGAGCAGGAGCGTCAGGGCATCGTCAACGCCAAGCTGTACCAGCAGTTCCGCGAGGCGCAGGACGAGCTCCGCACCGAGGACAGCAAGCTGTTCGAGCTCAACGTGCTGGCCACGAGGGACGAGCAGATCAATCACAAGAACCGGGCGAGACTCAAGGAGAAGGAGGACGACAAAGTCTATGACGCGCTCTGGTACAGACATGTTGTTTCTCTCTTTCCCTCTCTTGTCGCATTTCAATTGTACCCGTCCTTTCTGTGATGCGACCACCCAACAGGCAGCAGGAGTACCACAAGAAGGTGGACAGAGAGGACCGCGACTTCCAGGAGACGGTGAAGCGCAACGAGGAGACCAAGGCAGTGCTGAGCCAGCAGCTGCAGCTCACCGAGCTCCGCAAGCAGGATGCGGCAAAGGAGCAGCAGGAGGAGGGCAGGAGGCTCAAGGAGCAGTTGGTGCAGGAGAAGGAGGAGGCCGAGCGCCGGGTGGTCGAGGAGGCCAAGCGCAACTTCCAAAAGAGGAAGGAGCTCGACGAGTTCATCCTGCAGCAGCAGGGCAATGCACAGAGGAGGGACGCCGAGGAGAGACGACTAGACAAGTAAGTAACCGCCACAAGATAACCTGACACAACCAAGGACACACAGAAGGGATGTTCCTCTGCCCTGCTGTTGTGTCTGTCTGTGTCTCAGGGAGTATTTGGAGCTGGCCTTAGCGAAGGAGCGTGAGATGGCTGATCGTGAGAAGGAGGAGAGGCGGCTGAGACAGCAGCAAAACGATGAGTTCAGGAGAGCGCTCGTCGAAGACATGCAGAGGGTGGGCTGAGCGTCACACAGCATTCCAGCTCTCTGATCTATCTGCCGCCTGTGGGTGGTGAATGTATGTGGCCAGAAAGCCGAGAGCGAGGAGGTGCTCATCCGTATGCAGGAGGAAGAATCGGAAAGACAGGTACCTACCTACACACATAAGAAACATGCCCCTTCATCACACACATCGCTCTATGTCCCCTGTGTGTGCGTTTATCTCATGATGTATCTATCCAGTGGGAGAAGCGTCAGCAGCAGTGGGACCTCGACAAGGCCCGGCGCAACGAGCTGCTGCGGCAGGTCTTCGAGGGGCGCGCACAGCAGGTCTGCGACAAGACCGCCGCTAGAGACCAAATCAAACAAGACATTCACAATGGTATCTACGACCAACCATGGGGCCCACGAGCTCGTGTAAACATACTCTTTTTCGTACACGTAGAGCGCGGTTTCATGGAGGCTGAGGCGCGTCGTTTGGCAGCGATAGAGGAGGAGAGGCAGCGGACGGAGAAGCAGCTGAGAGACAGACACGCCGAAGAGCTCTTCAGACAAATGGTCAGCGCAGGCACTCACACGCATCCCTTGACCACTCCTTTTCTGCGCCTGTCTGTGTGTCTGCCTGTCTCTCTCTGTGTGTGTAGGATTTCCACCAGGTGCAGCGTGCCCGCGACATGCAGATGAGAGGGCTCGAGAAGAGACAGGTCGGTGGGGCCAACCACACATAGAGAGGGAGGGAGGTGGTCGCATTGCTGTGTGCTGTGGTCATGGTTCTGCGTTTATCATCAGAGTGAGTTGGCCGAGCGAGAGTTGTCTCGGGCGCTGCAGACGGAGCGCATCAAGCAGGAGGAAATCAAACGAGTCCTCAAGGTGCGGGGGGTATGCATGTGTGTGTGTTGAGGAGGGCAATTGATAGAGCTGCCATTGGTGTGGTGTGTGGGTGCAGGCCAACAGGGAGCAGCGACAGGCCGACCAGTGAGGGAGCGACTGGATGATCGGGGCTGCGTGGCTGGCTCCTAGTCGGCCGGCCTGTTGTGTGGCTGTCGTGTGGCATGGCGCACATGAGAGAGATTGGACCTCACTTGCTTGCATGGTGTATGTATGCCCTGGATCAGATCAACACAATGGTTTGCTCCCTCACTCGATGAGACATGCAGCTGTAGGCCAAGTGTGTTGGTCTGTCTGTCTGTCTGCCTGTCACCTCGATCTACCCTGTCTGTACACACAAAGGTCTCCGCCCGCCGATAGTATCCATCTCTCCATTGACTGACGTAATATGCACATCCATCCATCCATCAAGTACTCCACGCAGCCAGGCCGGCCGTCGGTCATCTGATCGGTCCGTCGCGTGACGTCACGTCACGTCGCGTCATGTGGTGCCATAGGCCATCTCGTCGCCCTTGGTGCTGATGAACAGCGACAACACGCCCCTCACGCGATCGTTCAGCTGACCTAATATCACACACACACACACACACACAGATGGTGAGGCGCGTCTGTACAATATCCTCCCACGGGCTTTCTTACCAACGTGTTCGAATGCCTGGAGGATCCGTTGTATATCGGCCATGTCCAGCTCGATGGCCGCCCTCTGCACACGAGTGCCCAGCCGCTTCCACGCGCCCTCGTGGTTGATGTCCATGCTCGAGAAGACATCCACCACCGTCAGCAGCTGCTCCGCTCGCAGACACTCGCCCTTCTTGTCGACCCAGTGCACGAGCTGGTAGACGATGCGCGGGTCGCGGACCTGCAGCTGCCGGACGGCCAAAGCGATCTCTGCGACCATGTTCTGGTTGAACGTGTGATCCAACCTGACACACGACACAACGCAACGCACACACAACGAAACAGCACATGTGTGGAAGGCCGAGTGTGCTGGTTGTTCGGTCACCTGAGCCTCCGGGACTCCTCACACAGCCACTCGATGGCGTTATCGTCGCGCCACCCCGCCTGACCCAAGTCAGCCAGCGCACTCCACAGGCTCGTCAAACCCTGCACAACACACGAATCATCCCTATCTGCCGCACACACGAAGGCCCCTCTACCCATCACTCTCTCACTTGTGAGGGCAGTGCCACTCGCTCTTCGTCCGCCAGCCGTCGTGTGGCCGCCAGGAGGGCCGACAGAAAGGCCGTGTCGCGGGGGGTCAGTGATGCGAAGGCACGGAACGCCATGCACAGATCCTGAGCTGTCAGCTGCGATGATGACTCAGCCGAACCGTTGTTGAGCAGCGCCGTGATTCGCGTCTTGAGAGCAAGGATCTCGGCGGGCTTCCGGCGCTGCTCAACGGAAACATGGAAGCACGTTTGGTTGGTTGGTGTGCTCTGTGGCGGACATCTGACTCACTTCAATCCGTGCGAAGCTCCAGGCCAGCATGGCAGCATCGATGCCGCCCAGCTCATCCGTCCGCACCGTCACCTGCCGGCCGATCTGTCGCCACACATCTTCGTGGCTGACGAGCGCCTTTGCGAGGCCCCAGGCTGTGAGGGCCACCTTGGCCATGGCCATGCCCGCCACGCGAGACTCCACATAACCGCTCAATCGCCACAAAGCTGGCGAATACGACAACACACCATACCTACACAGCCAACACACACACACACACACACATCTCGAGTGTGTGTGTCCATCCTCTGTCAGTGTCTGCTGCTGCCCATTCACCTGTGTATGAGTAGGTGCAGTGAGTCCTCGAACAGCGACACCCTCTTGAGCACGGCCTCATTGTAAGCGGCGAAGCTGGCGGCACACGTCGACTGAGGGGGCAGCCTGTCAATCCCACCCGCACTGCCCCCACTCGCTGCTGTTGGAGGGCTGCGCAGGTGTGGGCCGATGTCGAGATGCCGTCTGGTGGTGAGCAGCGTCAAGGAAGCCAGCCAGTCACGCCTTGTGAATGAGTCTGGGTCAGTCAGCGAGAGAAGAGAAGATAGGTCAGTGCATCTGATGAGTAGTGGGTGGGTGGGATGGATCCATGCATCTGTCGACTGATCTACCCTGGTTTTCGAGGCAGAAGGCGAGGAAGTCTCGGGCCTCGATGAGGTCCTCCATCTGGCGGGACATCCGTGTGTCGCTGTCCCATCGCAGCAGCTTGGCCGTCCTCACCTGCAACCGCACGACACAACACAACACAACACAACACAACACACCACAGCACACCACAGCACATACAACAATCGGCGCTCGTTGCGCGGAAGATCTGGTCTCTGACTCATCACCTGCTGTGCGAATGGTGACGTTTGAGCCGCACGACCCTTCGACAGCGCCTTTGACGAACGAGCGTACATAAACAAAGTTCTCCTCCAAGATCTCTGCAGGGTTTCGAACCCCACACCCCAACCCTGAGACCGAACGAAATGTGTTTTACCATACCACCGCCCTCGCCACGCCCACTAGTGCGCAGTCGGCAGCCTGAATCCTGACCTCCTGCAGTGTTCGACAATGGAAACCATCGATTTCATCCATAGCATCATTGGCATGAGTGTGAAGCTGATCCGTCCGGCAGGAGCGTAGAGGGCGAGATGGGCAACAACCACACTGCGGACCGCCATGGTGCCGTTATCGACGACCACACACTGGAATTCCTCCACAAAGACGACAGAGATGCCCTCCACACGTATGCAAACCACACCCGAAATTCAATCAATGAGGGAGGTGGAGCGGCAGTTGACAGGCGTGTGTGTGTGCGTGTGTGTGTGGGTGGGTGTGATGTGCCATCTGTGTATGTGTGCAGCCGGTCGGAGGTCGGCAGCCTCAGAGTCACGGCCCATTTCCTCTATGAAGTCGACTTCTCGGCCGCCGTCCTGAGCAACCGACTCAATCGCTGCCTGGTGGCCCGGGGGCTGCAGACCATCATCGCATTCGACGCTCAGCTGGACCGCCCTCTGCTGCTGAAGGCCATCTGGCTGGTGGACACGCAGCAGTGGACTGAGGTGGCCAATGCGCTGAAGTTGGCGGCGCAGCGGGGCTACTGTCAGCTGCCGATCACACTCGCTGTGGCCGACATGCAGCGTCACGATAGCAAACAGGTGGGCAGATGAGCGTGGCGTGGGGTGGCTGGCACTCATCGGTCTGTCTGTATGTGTGTGTCTGTCTGTGTCTGTCTGTCTGTCTGTCTGTGTGGTGTCTGTGTAGGCTTATTTGGCGGATGTGCGCGTGATTGCGTTGTGGAAGATAGTCGGCCGACACATCGACTTCGGTGGCAACTACGGCCGTTTTGAGCTGTTCGACCAGCCGGGCGGCGGTGTGCGTGCCCTCCGCGACGCGCCGGGCTTCGAGCTGGACATCAATCCGCCCCTTCCCCCCGCCCACCCATACCACCCACACACCATCAACGACAACCCGCCCGTCAGATCCCGAATCCGCTGGCACGGGGGCGGCTGGACGGCAAGTGGTGGTGAGGATAACACTGATGCCTCGGCGTCGGCCTTCGTCATGAGGACCATCATGAGGGTCATCATGGCCCCTCCACTGGCGAATTGGGGCGCCACTCCATGGGTTTACGTGGACCGGTACGCAGGAAACACGACACTCAGGCAGACACACATCGATCCATCCATCATGGCCTCTTCCCTCTGTTATGTGCTGGTCTGTTCAGGCATGCTCACGGCGGTGTGCTGGACGGCTTCCTCAACCACTCGCCCCACCAGCCCCCTAACGGATGCACCGCCGTCGTGGCGAGCAGGATGGACAGTAGCCATCCCCCTATAGATATTCGGCAGCTGCTGCTGACGCCGTTCGACGGCCCATTCGTCGCATCGATCGCCCTTATCATCTGGGCCGGCCTGACCATGGGTAAGAAAGGGGTCAGAGATCCTCTAGTGATGGAGCCGTCCTTTGACGTGTGCTGTTCGCTGAATGCAGTGTGCGTTCGTGCCCTCACCAACGAGCCGCCAGTGGGTGGTGCATCGGCTGCCTTCAAGGACCGCCGGCCCACCACCGCCCCTCTGGTGGGCGGCGCGCTGGGCAGCACCTACGCAGACATGATGGTCAACCCGCAGGAGGAAGTCATTGAAGGTGAGTGTGTGAGTGTGCAGCCGGCCGCCTCCACCTCGGTCTGTCGGTCGGATGAATCGGTGTGTGTGTGGTGGTGTGCAGAGGAGGGTGCGGATGACGGCGATGGCGATGGTCGTGAGGGTAAGTGGTCTGTGTAGTGCCCAGCCCGCCTGGCTAGGTGTCTTGCTCATATGTATGTGTGTGTGTGTGTGCAGAGGATAATGACGATAGTGCGGATGACGGCGACAGCGATGAGGGTGAGTGGAATACATGTGTGTGTGTGGTTGGGCCCACTTGTATGTTTGCGTGTCTTGAGTGTACAGATGTGGATGGCGACATCGACGGCAATGGCGAGGGCGAGGGCGATGGCCAGCAGCAGCATCAGCATCAGCCTGATGAAGAGGGTGAGATGGGGGCAGGGGAGGAGCTAGATCAGCGTGACATACACGCACTCATTGTGTGCGTCATGGATGTGATGTATGTAGGTTGATCGACTACACAGAGAGCAGCCCAAGGACAGCACACAGCTGTTCTGCCACCGTAGTGGGTAGGCTGGGCGCTAGTGGCAAGAAGGCCTCGTCTAAGCAAACCGCTCGGGCAGTTCTGCTTATGTCTCGCTCCTTTCTCGGGCGGCAGCGTGCACTGTTGTTTCGTTGCTTTCTGCCTGCTTCCTGCCTCCTCCCTCAGTGCCACTGTATAGGTCCGAAAGTACCACCCTGCTGTCTGCATGCCATTGGGTGGATACATATGTGGCCTCGATCGACGTGCGCGCACATCACACCCGAAACCTCTACTACCGACAGCAGGTCTGTCTAACAAATGGACGGATGAGACACATGCTCGCTGACAGACAGACAACACACAGCACAGCACAGCACAGCCACACTACATCTTCAGTCGTCTTAACTCACTGCACGTGGCGGCATGGGTCTTTTGTGTGTTGATTGGCGGCCTTGTTCTGATTGAGGATGTTGTGTGGTGCGGCGGGGCGGGGGGGCTATGCGTGCATGTGGGTGCGTTGTGTTGCATCCGTGTGTATACCGATCGGCCGCCCTTGTGCGTACAAACATAATTGTCGACTCATGAATGAATGAAGGAATGCTCATGGATGAATCATGCAGCAAGTGAGGTCCAATCTCTCTCATGTGTGCCTTGCCACACGACAGCCACGACAGACCGACTAAGAGCCACCCCCGCAGCCCTCATCCAGTCGCTCCCTCACTGGTCGGCCTGTCGCTGCTCCCTGTTGGCCTGCACCCACACCACACCAATGGCAGCTCTATCCATTGCCCTACTCGACAGACACACACATACACATACGCACCTTGAGGACTCGTTTGATTTCCTCCTGCTTGATGCGCTCCGTCTGCAGCGCCCGAGACAACTCTCGCTCGGCCAACTCACTCTGATGATAAAGACACAACCATGACCACAGCACACAGCAATGCGACCACCTCCCTCCCTCTCTATGTGTGGTTGGCCCCACCGACCTGTCTCTTCTCGAGCCCTCTCATCTGCATGTCGCGGGCACGCTGCACCTGGTGGAAATCCTACACACACAGAGAGAGACAGGCAGACACACAGACAGGCGCAGAAAAGGAGTGGTCAAGGGATGTGTGTGAGTGCCTGCGCTGACCATTTGTCTGAAGAGCTCTTCGGCGTGTCTGTCTCTCAGCTGCTTCTCCGTCCGCTGCCTCTCCTCCTCTATCGCTGCCAAACGACGCGCCTCCGCTGCCATGTACGCCTCCTGCTGCGGGGTGACAGTCCGAGGACCCCCCCACATGTGGTGGGGAGGAGAAATCGACCGACCTGACACAAACATGCAACCATGCCGACCAAGGTCTCGTGATTATTTATTTGTGTACCAAGAGCAGCAGCAGCAGCAGGAGCAGGAGCAGGGACGCCGTGTGGCAGGGGAAGGCCAATCGCCGAGCCAAAGGATGGTCCCGACCTCACATGCGTCGCCAGCTGTGTCTTCACCGCTGCATGCTCTCCCCGAACATTCTGAGAGGGCCTCAGGTACGCCACATTGCTTGCTATGGGAGGCCGCTGGGGTTGACCGAGGAGGGAGTGATGGGATCGTGAGTGCGGCGGCGGCGGCGGCGCGGGGTAGTAGACCGGTGGAGGGGGAGGTGCCTTCGCGACAAGAAGGGGGTGAGGTGGATGCAGCGGACCCAAGGGCACGAGAGGAGGTCGGACGACATGGAACTGGTTGGTCTGGCTGGGCAGCAGCTGTGAAAAGAGGAAGACACAAGAGAGGGAAGGCGATTGTCTGTCAGCGCATCAGAAACTTACCTTTGCACCAAGTGTGTGGCGTGGGATTGGGTGCAGGGTCCGGCGATCGACTGCAGGGGGATACACCAACCTGTAAACGACGGAAACGGAGAATAATGTGATATAAAACAGATGTCCTATGTCCCTTTCCCGGCTGACCTGCTCATTTGGGGTACCGGATGACAGCCGCCGACGACCCCCGGGTATGGCACGGCCACAGTGCCGCGGGAGGGCGGCGGGACGGCGAAATGCAAGCCAGATGAGAACGCGGGCATGCGGGGGGCCGATGGATGGGGTGGGGCAGACGGTGAGCGACCATCAATCGGGTGGCTCTCAAAAACGGGCTTCTGTGGCACAAACCATAAGGGATGCTAGGTATGTCTGGGTGTCTGTTCATTATCTAAGGACCTGGCTCTGATCGGCTTGGACCGCTCCGGCCGCATCACTGACCCCCGGCCGCTCTGTTGTGGGCCCATCTGACACGCACTCGTCGCGAGGATGCTGGACGTGGAGCCGACCATGTGACACGACCTTAGGGTTGCCTGACTCGCGACAAGTACAGATACGTGGGTATCTTGGTGTGTCTTGGTGTGGCGGAATGGAATGCCTGATGATTATGGTTACCAACAGCTGGTGCGAATCTTTGAGTTTCCGCCCTCGGCACCCTCTTCACCCTGTTCATTGAGCGGCAATACGACGTTTCCCCTCCCCTCTTATCTGCCTCTTATCTGTGCTTACTTGGGTTCCACTCGAGTGGTAGGCTGCTTTGCCTTGGCCTGCTTTGCCTTGGCTTTGGGCTGTTTGGGCTGTATCATCGCATTCGAACCTGGGCTCGTTGCGGTGCCCCGGGGAGCCCTCTTCGTCTGGTTGGGGAACGGGGTGGAATACTTGTGCCGTGGACGAGACGGATTGCTTGCGTCACGTTTGAGCTTGGAAGCGCGAGCGGCGGAGGGAACTCGCGAAGGATCACGCGAGTGGCGATCGCCGGCGCCGACAGCTGGGCCAGACACTGCAGCAGCAATGGGCAAAGCAGAGCTGGTGCAAATAGGTGTATGTGTGTTGTGTCTTCTCCTCTTTCTCTTCTTGGACCTGCAATGCCGTCTGCTTTGGTGCCCTCCTCCACATTTCCCTGCTGATACACGGCATTGACCCCATCTCCCCCAGTTCCCCCGTTGTGCTTCGGACTGGCCTCTCCGTCCTGCACCAAAGCCTTCTTTTCCCGCTCCTCCTCGCCTTTCTTCAGTTGTTGGATGAGAGGACCATTGGGCAGATCCTTGCCGTGCGCAAGTGGTCGTCGACCACCACTCGCCACGACGACAGGCAGATGAGGAATAGAGGTGCTGGGCACGAACAGAGCGCCGCCCTGCCACACAGGCCGCAGATAGAATCATGCCTGCCTACATGGCCGACGCCACCCGCTCATGTACTCACCTTGGTGTGGCCGTCTGGCCGTGTAACATTGGCCACAGTCCTCCGCTGAGTGCCCCCCACGGTCTTGCGTGAAGGAGCCGCAAAGGCAGCACCTGTGCAGAAGGAGACAGACAAGAGCCATCGAGGTCCAACCTCCAACGTAATGATCTGGTCTATCGCATCCCATTCTGACCTGCTGCATGCATCGGAGCTGTCTTGCATAGTTGTTTTGCTGAGGCAGGATCAAAACGCCGCACCCCATCCACCTGGCCCTTTCCCGCGCCGTGTGCCTGCACACGCGGCGCCGTGCGCCTTGGAACAGACAAAGCCCTGCCATCAGCTGACCGAGCTCGAGCCTGCCAACCAAGAGACATGAGACACGATTGACGCCGGTGACTACCTGGCAACCAACCTGTTTCTGTTTGGGTGTGTGCGATTGCTTCGCGTTGTTGGGCTGTTTGGAGGGCGTCGGGGCATCAGGGGCAGGGATCGTTAGCAGCTGCGATGGAGCCAAATCTGCGTTGTACAACACGACCGATGCCTAAGCTATGCATCGAGTATCTCTCCTTTTGATGAGCACCTGTGTACTGCGTGGTCGACGTCAGGTCAGCCATGAGCTGACTCTGGTGAAGGGCCTGATGGAAGGGAAAACGTCAAGAAGGGCGGATGCTCACCCTGGGACATTGCTTCAGAAGTGGCGACCGTACCAACTCAATCTCGGGGTGAATGGCTTCAGCCCTGCAGAGACACGCGACATAGGTAGCCCACACGATGCTCAGGAGGTATGCGGCAGTGTGTCATCCATCGTGCTTACAGCAGCTTCTCGCAGAAGGAGTTGAAGAGGGTCGGTGTTATCAACAAGTTGAAGCTGCAAGTAACCACGCAATGTGCTGAGGTGTCTCAGCTGCCTTCCTCCCTTGCAGGAGACCTCCCTCACCCGATTTCCATCAGGATGGTGTTCTCGAGAGCATTAATCTCCTGGTTGGTGAGGGCCGGGAAGAGCATCGGTATGGACGAGTTCCGGACAGGCTTGTCCTCCCACATCTTGTCAGCGATGAGCAGCGAAGAGAGAAACAGCGGCCGCCACGTCGCACAGTGCAGCGAGATGTGCGTCTTCTGCTTGAAGCGGCTGAGCAGGATGATGCTTATGATGAACGGAGCCACCTGATTGACGAGACGAGGCACACGCGGCAGATGGCATCAAGGACAGAAATGACTTGATTGGTACCCCAAACAGCCCGCGGTGCACGATATCAACGATGAAGGAAGCTGTGTCTGCAAAGAAATGATGACATACACCGGAGCTCTTTATGGTGGGCCAGGCGCCTGTGCGCACCTCCAGGGCTGCTGTGCAGGGTCATGTCAACGGAGCGCTCGCAGAATAGGCGAAAGACGGCATTCCCTGCCATCTTCTCGTGCACATCGGCATCGTCCTTGATGTGCCGATGCAGAAAGTTGATGCCGCACGCGAGCAGCCGGCCCTGAAGGCCCCGAAAGCTCTCTTTGCGATACATTTGCCTCACGTCACGACTCCGACGCCTAAAGCCCGGGGAAATGCAAAATTGAGAGAGGAACCCCATCTGCGAGCTTAGAGTGGGCGAGCTCAGGAGCTGAGGCGCTTGGCAGGTAAGAGAGGATAGGATGGGTGCGCATCGGCCAATGAATGCAATCAATCACTTTGATGAGTTGTTTGCAGGCACGGGCATCTGTCGCACTTCTCACGTCATCCATGGGCAAGAAGAGCAAGAAGAAGCGACGTCACGACGCCACAGACAAGCAGGATCGTGATCGTCCCCACAGAGATCCAGCCTCTGTCGTCAAGAAGGATGACGTGATCTCGAAGCTCAAGGCCGCCATGCAGTCCCTCAAGAGGAAGGACGCGGCCAAGCATTCTCACGATGGAGCCCGACCCAAGCACCAGCACCAGCAGCGTGCATCATCGTCCGGCGCCAGACGGCCGGACAAGAAGGGAAAGATGGGCGGCAAGAGCGTTCTGGGGCTCGACTGTGAGATGGTATGGTCGGTCACTTACTGAGGCACACAAGGCGAGAGGTTTGTGGTTGATGGTTCTCGGTGTGTGTCGTGTTGTGTGTACAGGTGGGTGTTGGTCCAAATGGGGCGACTAGTGAGCTCGCGAGGATATCCATCTGTGACGACGCGGGCCGCATCGTCATGGACGAGGTGAGGGTTGCAGTCACAAACAAACCGGGGGGCAGATATGTGCATGAGTGAATCAAGGATGCGTGTTGGCATGCAGGTGGTGCGGCCTCGGTCGTACGTGTCCGACCTGCGGTCATCCATCACTGGACTAACACTCGGCCGGCTCAAACAAGGCAAGGAACAAGGGAGGGAGGGAGGGAGGGAGCGATGGCCCATCCATCCATCCTTCGTGTTCCTCTCTGTCGGTACGCCTTGGCTGGCTGCAGGGATCAGCTTCGATGAGGCCCGCACGAGAGCTCTGCTCGCGATGAAGGGCGCGCTGGTTGTTGGGCACGCCATCCACCATGACTTCCAGGCAGGTAGTATCCGACCCGCGCATCCACACGGACATGGTGTGTTGTCGTATCCCTCCCTCCCTCCCTCTCTCCCTCCATCAGGCACTTGAGATCGATGCTGATGACGAGGGCATCCAATGGGCGGACACGCAGCGGCTTTACCCGCACAGCCGGAAGCAGCTCCCGTCCCTCCAGAGCCTCGCCAAGAAGGAACTGGGTATCACGCTGCGCCGAAACGGCGTGCATGACAGCATCGGTCGGTGGGCCTGCCCGAACACCCGGCATCCTGCATTCAGGAAAGAGATGAGATGCCGATCTCTGTGTGTCTTGTGGTGCGGTCTGGTGTGGTCTGGTGTGGTGTGTCATCGACAGAGGATGCCCATGCTGCGGTTAAGTTGTATCAGCATCACCTGCGGGAGACGAAGAAGGCGAGGAAAGGCCCTGCGGCTGGTGTGAAGTCCAAGGGCGAGGGGCAGCACGGCAAGGACGCGACGGATGTCGAGATTGTCGGTTGGGCCATGTAGAGAGACGTGGTGGCTGAGTGGTTGAAGCCGTGTGTGTGTGAAAGGGTTTGTGTGTGTCGGGTAGTAAGGCATTCATTGGTGGTATGATGACTTGCAAGAGACATGTCACATGTGTTCAATAAGTTGGCTGAGACACTTTGTCTGTCGAAGCACGGGACACATCGGATATAAAGTGTGGCCACAACTCCATCATGTACGTATGTTCGCACCCCGACTAGCTATAGATATCTGTTTCTGCACACGAACCTGCGGTATCTACAAACCAACGCATCTACAAACCACCTGCACTGCACCAGCCACGCCACGCCGCGGCGCGCCCCACACACGAACACCAAGACGCCAAATCGTTACCGCATCAATCAGTCGTCCGTGTAGTAGGAATCCCAGCTCTTCTTTCCGCCACTCCTGAACATCGACACATAGACACACACACATCCATACGCGGATGCACTCGTCTAGTGAATGATGCAAACACATACCAGCTGAGCAGCTCGACGACCGTGTCTTTGTTCTTGAACCGCAGCTCCGTCCGCCAGTCGAGTCCTGTGACGATCTTGAAGTCTCTCCGAGAAGCCAGACAGTACACGCCCCGCCAGTCGTGCCGGCTCAGCAGCAGCCTGGCGAACTTCTGGTAGATGCGGCGAAGCGCCTCGCTGCCCAGCTGCCGGCCGTAGGGCACCTTCGTCACGATCATGCAGTTGTCCACGTAGGAGCCAACCTGCCAGACACGCAAACGTTTGGGGAGTGGAGCTTTTTCTTGGTCTGACTCGGTCAGCGTGTGTTTCTTCTGTTGTTTGTACCTTCCATGGTTCGGTGTGCACGAACTTGATCTTGGCCGGCAGCTGACTCTCGGAGGACGACGGGGACGATGCAGCGGCAGTGCCGTCATCACCTGCATCCCATCAGCCAACACAAAGGTTTTGTACCACCACATTCAGCCTGACTCCTCCCTCTACCACTGAGTCTCGGCTGGGCGGCCAGGGGGGGCTCATAGTCGGGCGACGCTTGCCGCGGCATCCGCTCGCAGAAGGTGGTCAGGTTCTTCCGGGCGCCATTCACTTCCTGCTCCCGCATGTCGGTGCCCAGCAGCGTCAGATTCGCCAAGTTGGGGTGAGGGCTAAATGGATGCAGGTAGGTAGAACAAACAGACGGAGAAGATGACGTCAGTCAGTATCACAGACGGAGGCACGGACGCTGCGTACGTGAGTGCGAGATCTGAAAGCACCTCAGAGAAGCGCCGAGCGCTGTGACAGGGGAACTGACGACATCGACATACACAGACAGAAAAGCCGCAAGGTAAGGGAGGGAGGCACATTCAGCTAGCTTGACGCCCGCCGGATTGCTCACGTCATAGAAGGGATAGCGGATCCGCGGCGAGCCTGCGGGATGGCCCATGGCGATCCCGAGCGCTTCCAGCAGGATGGTGCCCGCCCCGCAGAAGGGGTCCCACAGAGCCACACCCCTGTCCTCGCATAGAAGCTTCAGGAATGGCGTCTTAAGCACTATCGCCGCCGCCAGATTCTCCCTGCAGACACCAGCAAACACCATTTGGTGATATGAATGTGTTGGCGTGATGGTGGCGTGGCTTCGCGTGCCTGAGTGGGAGTGTGCCGACGGTTTCTCGCCACAGTCGCCTTCCCAGGTCACCAGAGCCGTCAAGATAGATCTGTCAATCAGGCACGCAGGCAGGCAGGAAATCAGCCGTCACATAGATCTATCTTTGGTTAATATGGATGCCGTTGCAATTTGGGCCCTGCTGCCCCTCACCTGGCACTCATTGTGATGGAGCTGCACTTCCACTTTCGCAGCGCGCTGCACTGAATGCATTCAGCAACCCAACCAGCCAGCCAGGATGGCACCACACAGGGATTGGTTGAAGAAGCCCTCATTCATCGGTCGGTCGGTCAGTGCATGCCATGCCATGCCATGCCTACCTCCCCTTCTGGCGTGCATGGATCGTATGGGGTCGCCCTTTTCCTCCACGTGTGTCCTCAGCTCAGCGCGGATGGCGTCCACCACCGCCCGCTCTATCATCTTGGTGTGGAACAGACGCGAACGGGACGACTCAACCTGCAGTGCACAACGTGACTGACTTGTGGTCGGTGTGAGGTGAGAGGTGAGAGGGCGGTGGGTGTCGTGACCTCACCTTGATCGGGGGGTCTTGCATCGTGGCGAAGAATGGGAAGTAGTGACCCCTGATGAGGGCACGTGAATCGAATGCATCTTACGCGGATGGATGGATCCGCCCTCCCACCCACTCACCATGGGATGGCGTGCAGGTTGTTGACGAGGTGCTTCTCGTCCTTGGCATGGAAAGGGTCGCACAGGCAAAGCTTCACGCTCTCGGCAATGCGGCTGCACACACAAACAAACAAACACAGACAAATCAACCGGCATCACGCGATGAATGATTCATTCGTCGCATGTTCATGCATCCGACTGACTCACCTCTTGAGGCAGATGCGCCACAGCAGATCATCGGTCCCTTCGACCTGCACGCCTCCCGCCACCTTCTGGAAGGTCCCCTCGATGCCCAGGCTCTTCAGCTCCCGCTCCAGCAGGTTCTCCAGCCCAGTCGCCACACCAACGAGCACCTTCCGCAGGGCGGCAGGCTCGTCTGACTTGACCTTGTTCACGGGGATGCCCAGCTTGCGATGCGCCACGTGCTTGGCCAGCGCCTGGGTCAGCGTGTGTCCACCACTCATCTGCACTGTAGGGTAGGGTGCAAAACCCTTTACCCCCGTGACCCTGGCCCGGTGGTCTCCGCGCCTGTGTTAGTCGAGCTCTGTAATGTGTTTATATTATCCGTTGATGACGCCACCGATCACATCAAACTCACCCGCTGCGATCGGTCCGCCGCGGCCGATGCGCGAAGCACTCGTTCGCTCAACTCATTCACTCAACTACACAACACACCACTCACACATCCGTGTGTGTGTGTGTGTGCGTGCGTGTGAGTATTATCTCATTGTTTGTGTGCTCACTGCCCACATCAGCTCCCCTCATGAAGCGGACATGTCAGCCACTCAAGTCAAAAGCGACACACATGACCGCTGCGCTGGGGAGACGAAGTGGGTCAGTGTCACACACAATCCATCCACGCAAACAAGTCACTCACAGCAGCAGCAGCAGCAGCAGCGGCCGGCTGGCCATGTATGTATGACTACACCAAAAGCAGGTAGTTCACTCTTTCTTTCTTTCCTTTGTGTGTGTATGTGGTGTGTGTCTGTCTGACGCTCGATGGCCACCACAGCGATGATCAACACTCACTGTGTTGCATGACCTGACACGTCTCTACAGCTAGCACACCAACACACGCATGCAGCACCAAACAGACACCTCCGTCCCATCTCTCTCTCTCTCTTTCTCTCTTCCCATCCACCGTCCAGAGACTCACCGGCCGTGCGTCGTGGCCACATCGTAGAAAGAAAGGCACACAAAAGCCGACGTACGTCCGTGCGAGGCACAGATGGTTGCATCCGTGCCTCGCACTTCATGGGTGTGTGTGCGTATCGACTCTCACACGTGTTCATCACGACACACGGCACAGATAAACAGATCGATCTCTCTCTCTCTCTCTCGTGTTGGTACACAGGCATGACAATACACAAAAGAACACATCCACTGTCTTGTTTGGTGGGATGGGTCAGCAGTCGTGTGTGTCCATTCCCTCCCCCACCCGCCCTGTGCGCATCTCTGTCACTGCCCGGCAACCCAAAAGCACCGACACCCTTCATGGGCTGATGCTCTGGCGTTACCGGACTGGAGGACAGATGCCCACAGAGGGATGGGGGAGGACACACGGTACGACAACCACACAGGGTATCACACGCGTAAGCACAGGCAGACAGAGGGGCACAAAGGGAGAGGGCAAGACACGAAACATTGTGGGGATGCATCCAGATAGGCGAAAGATAGACAGTGAGTGCTGTCGGCCCGTCTGTCTGTGAGCCGGCGGTGTGTGACGGATGCATCGACGAGAGATCAAGACACTCTCGCGAACAACCGTCACAGCCCACCCAACCACAGAGAGACGGCAACCGCCACACCACACAGCGATTGTTTTGTGCAGCCAGCCAGCCAATCATCCTGCTCTGTCTGTCTTGTCTGTCTGTCATCTCTCCCCCGCCCCTCACTCATCAGCCGACACACTCATGGCGGCAGACGGCTGATGGGTGGAGGGCCGGGACCAGATGACAATGGCAGCCAGACCGACCGACACGCAGAACCACACAATGCCATACGATCGGCTCACACGACCAAAATGTGACATAGTGAGAGATTCAGTTCAGTTCGGTCAGCACGTCTGTCGGCTCATCGACCGATCTTCTTCCTTCAGCACATATCACATCACACCGTCGGCATCAGGGCGTCGAAGCCATCAGCCAGTCACACCTGCACCCAATCAGACGACACACACCGACCGACCGACCGACAGAGAGACATATCTGTGTGTGAATCCTGCCTGTCCTACTGTACGTGTGATCCTAACGTCTGTGCGTACCAGTTGTTCGAGTGCAGTGAGTGTCGCCGAGCAACACCGCACCGCACACCACACGACGCCTGTGCGTGTGTGTGTGTGTGCTGTCGGCCCGTCTGTCTGTGAGGCGCCCTTGTGTGACGGATGCATCGACGAGAGATCAAGACACTCTCGCGAACATACGTCACACTCTTCTGTCTCACAGACAGACGGCATGGCAGCTGACGGCTGAGGAGTGGACGGCCGAGAATGTATGACAATGGCAGCCAGACCGACCGACACGCAGAACCACACAATGCAAAACAATCGGCTCACACGACCAAAATGTGACATAGTGAGAGATTCAGTTCAGTCAGCACGTCTGTCGGTTCATCGGCCGATCTTCTTCCTTCAACACACATCACATCACACCGTCGGCATCAGCGCGTCGAAGCCATCAGCCAGTCACACCTGCACCCATTCAGACGACACAAACCACATACATCGACAGACGCCTGTGAGAAAAATCCTGCAGGTGTCCTAACGTCTCTGCGTACCAGTTGTTCTTCGAGTGCAGTGAGTGCGTCGCCGAGCACCGCCGCATCGCACCGCGCACACCACACGACATCTGCAGAGAGAAACACCCCACACACACACAGCCGTCGAGACAGCGACATCAATTCGGCGTGTCACGCACCCACCATGCGGATGAGGTCCGCCTCGCGCACCTGCCCCCCTGCGTGTGTGTCACGTTGCGATGTGTGTCAGCGAAGCACACACAAGGTAGAGGGAGAGAGGGGCGAGGACAGCAGATCTCGGGCAGTGAGCCGTCAGGAACGCTGCCAACGAGCCGATGAAGGGCGGAATGGCCCTGCGCCCTTGGTACCGTGTTAGGGCGGGGAGAAACCCGTCGCTTCACTGTTTACATCCACCGATGATTGGTTAGCTCGCTGAATAAGCAAGCAGAAGCAAGGCAGATTTTCCAAGGCCAAACGGCACAGCATCATGGCCCATCTCACCATCTCGTCCATCGTCGTCGCTCTCTGCCTGGCTGTGGGCGCCAATGCGTTCCAGCCGCTGCCATCTCGAGTAGGCGGCGTGCGGGGCGGTCGGCGTGACGTCACGATGCAGGTGACGTCTCAGCGTGACGTGTCGCCCAAGCTGGAGGAGATGGTGGGAGCTGACGTGGAAACACAGTCCATGATGAAGGGCCCATGGGACCCCTGGAAGCTCACCGGCAAGTTCGAGCTCGGCAACATCCTCTTTCGCGAATACGGCAGCATGGTCTGGCCGTCTGTTGAGGTGAGGACAAGATGGATCCAAGATGGATGGGTGGACACACATGGAACGTTTTGGCATGTGTGTGTGTGTGTGTTGCGCAGTGGCTTCGGGAGTCTGAGCTGAAGCACGGCCGCGTCTGCATGCTTGCCTTCTTGGGCATCGCGGCCAACCGGCTGGGTCTGATGATCCCGGGTTATCTCGACAGCAAGCCCGACGACTGGATCGACATCTACAAGGCCGTGCTGCAGCAGCACCCCCTGGCCATCCCCCAGATCTTCGCCGCCATCGGCCTCATCGAGGGCCAGACATACAACGACGGACTCTTCCAGGGCACGCCCGAGAGACCCGCTGGCAACCTCGGCTTCGACCCACTCAGGTGGGGCGAAGGGCACGGCACACACACGGTCTTGGTCGGCTGGGGTTATGTTGGTGGTGTTGTATGCGTGTGTGTTTGTAGGTTGTACAAGAACAAGTCGGACGCCGAGAAGAAGAAGCTTGAGCTGCAGGAGCTCAAGAACGGCCGGCTGGCGATGATCGCGATGGCGGCCTTCGCGGCCGAGAGGGGGGTCGACCAGTCCGTGCCGGTCCTGCACGCGCTGGGCTTCTGAGCGATTTTTGCCGTGTGGTGTCTGTCTGTGAATGAAGCTACGAGGCAAGCCAGCGTCCTGTCTGTTTTTGTCTGTGTGACGTGACTGAGATGGGTAGACAGAGGATTGTATCATCAAACCAATGAATCGATGCGCGGCTGACCACCGGGTGATCGTGTGTAGTCTCATGTATCTGTGCACCCGTGTGAGAGGCGAGGCGACGCGACAGACAGACAGGCGGACGGACGGATTCGTGTGTGCATGCGGAAACTGACTGACTCGGATTGTACCTACCCACCACCCGACTGCCTTTGTGAATGCCGCTGGCTTGGCCCCTCCCGGATGTTAGTCTGTTTGGGCTGGATGATATCACACTCTTGCCCGACCGACACGGCACACCCATCCACACACACACACGCATGGCATGGTTGGACCAGAAAGGCCTGTCTCTTCCGCCATGTCACAGTCACATGACAGTACATTCAGTAAACACAGCATGGATCGAGCCACGCATGGACGGCTCGTGCCATCAAGAAACCCGCCGAAGCAAGCAGGTCGTCTTTCAACAGCCGACCTGCTTGTTTCGGCCGAGGCATTGACGGCACTGACCACCACGCCAACAGCCCCACAAAAGTACACAGCCAATTCGAGCTCACCCACCCCCCACCCCCCGGACCTGCATGCCCGCCC